TTTTTCAGGACTGTCTAAGTCCGAAGATAGGGAGATGGGGGAGTCCTGTGAGTCCAGAGCTTTCGCTAGGGACTCCTTGAAGCCCTTCCAATTTGTGAAGGTTTTAGTAGAGGGTGTTGGGAGTGGTGGCTGATGGCCAAGAATGAGAGAGACCGGTCGGTGGTCGGATCCTAGATCATCTAGTGTCTCGATTGCCCTAAGGTTGAGAGAAACTCCTTTGAGTAACGCAAAATCTAGTACATCTGGGGCATAGTCGGTGTTATCGGGAAAGTGAGTAACACCGAGAGGACTGTGGACGGTAATATCAAGAGACTGCGTGATATCGAGCAGTAACTTGCCACTACGGGTGGTAGTACGGCATGTCCATTCAGTATGCTTGGAGTTAAAATCTCCAAACATAATGACTGAATTGCCTAGAGATAAAATAGCCTCAAAATCTTTTTTGAGGGGAAGGGTTTTAGAAGGGATGTAACAGGAGGCTATGAAGATGGACTGATGTCCAGTCATAGCTAGCCTGCATACCGTGGCTTCCATGTTGGAAAGTTGCGGAGTAGAAATGGGAGAACAGTGGAGTGTCTTCTTGTAATAAATGGCCGTACCGCCGCCTCGGCGGTCGGGTCTATCATTACGAAGAAGAGAGAAGTTTTTGATGGAAAGGCCTTTAGTGTCCTTAGTATTGAGATTAGTTTCCTGTAGGAGGAGGAAATCGGTTTCACGATTTTGAAGAAAGAGCTTAAGCTCTGGGAGGTTATTTCGCAAACCGCGAATGTTAAAGGATACAAGCGATAAACCCTTAGGTTTGATACGACCGTGGGATTTTGGTAGAGCAACCTGCTCTGTCATTGTGAGTTAAGTTAATTAAGTTAACTTAACTTACAATGAGCACAAAAGATTATGATGCTCTGCAAGAGCGAGGAGACGGTCCTGAGGGGACCTCGCAGCGCGCAATTTGCGTGCTAACACAGCGATTTCCTCAACGTTGATGTTCCTAATTGCGGAATACACCGTTTTTAGGTCATCAGCCATTGAGGGCTGTGATTGTTGTGGTTGAGGGGCAGAGGATGTCCGCGGTGGTACTGCCTTTTTGGGGCCCCAGGGAAAAACTGGAGGCTGCATAGGCTGAGAGAAGCCCGGAGGGGGCCGAATAGTGCCCTGAGGGGGCCTAGGAGGACCCTGAGAGGGTCGAGTGAAGCCCTGGGTGGGCTGTGAAAGGCCCTGACGGGGCATCCGTTGGTAAAGAGCCGGGAATGAGCGGTCATTGACCGGCGGTGGAGCTTGCCTACTGGGGCGAGGATGAGGTGCGCAAGGGCAGCCTCTGTAGTTAGCCGGGTGGCCCGTTTGTTTACACAGGACACACGCGGGTGGGGATTCGGCGTCTTTGGGCCGAGGACACTCTTTAGTGTTGTGGGGTTCAAGGCACTTAACGCACCTGGGTGGGGCGGAGCAGTTGGCCGCCGCATGACCATATAGCTGGCAGCGGTGGCACTGCGCCGGGAACCCGCGCCTATGTGGAGGCTCAACCCTCACTCTCGACAGGCCGCACACTGTGCGTACCTGCCGGAAGATGGCTTTCGCCTCCGGCACGTTGGTTAAAATTACTAGGGCAAGAGAGAACCTCTGGCCTGTTCTACTGTGCATTTTGTGCACGGCTTCTACGGGGAAACCTTGGGACTTAAGGTCCTCAAGGATTTCTTCGTTTGAAAATTCGAAGGGGACGCCGCGGATGACGGCCCTGACTTTGCGCTCTTCCGGAAGAGCGTATGTATGATAAGAAACTCGTTCGGCTGTGAATAGCCTGGTGAGTCGCCGGAAGTCGTCGATTGATTGGGGGATGATCTTAATAGCCTCCCCGAGGTTGATGGCGTGGTCATATTTTATGCCTGCGTTGTAGCAGGTTTTGGAGAGTTCTGTGAATTTAGCCTTGTCTCTTAGGAAGACAGGGGGCGGGACTTGCTTCTTGGCAAGGACTGGAGCACAGCGAGAGGCTGGCTTGGTCGGAGCGGGAATGTCTAGTGACATAAGTGGGGCTGAGGCAGCGGCGGGGGCTGCGGGGGCAGAGGCGGCAGCGGGAGCTGCGGAGGTTGAAGGAGCGGCAGGGGCCGCCGAGACAGGGAGGGTGCGGTTTTTAGCGGCGCGTTTACCGTTGCGCTTGGAGTTCACCGTGGTGAACGAAGAATCCCCGGTTCCGTCGGAGTCACAGGACTCCGATGAGCCGGTGCCAGAATTGGTGGCGGGCCTCTTCCGGGAGGCCGATGCAGAGGACTAGGAGCATGCGTACTCCATTTCTAATGGGGCGAAAGAGTTCTTTGTCTCTAGGTAGGCCGCAAGTACGGGCGGCGGTTGGAGTGCCTGACGGGCAGGGGGAGTAACATGGGCGGCGATGGCGGCAAGGGCCGTCTCATCGAGGTTTAGGCCCAGACCAAGAGTTTGGTTTAGGGCGGCGACGAGGGACTTAATTTGGGTAATTGTGGACATGTTGAGGGCAGTAGTTTTACGAAACGTATTTGATACGGAAGGGGCTAGTGGGTGCTGTTCTGAAAAGAACAGAGACGAGTACCTAAACAGTAAGGGCGGGATCACCGTTCTGAGAAGAACGGGACGTTATTAATTCTAGGAGTAAGTGCCCCTGCTCTCAAAAGAGCAGGGCCTTGCTCTGAAAAGAGCAAGTAACTCCCTAGAAACAGTATATACACGTACACGTTATACAAATAAATAACGAAAACAAAATTAGAAATAGTTAACAAAAGAATTAACAATAAAAATAACAATAACAAGCAAGACCAACAGTCAAACCGCCCCGCCCGGAGACAGGGAGGTAATAACTGGAGTTAGCGTAAAATGACTCACCAAGGCGTCGACGCTGTAAGCGCGAGCAGGACAGCGGAGGCGCGAGAGCGAGAGAGCACTACCGTACGGGGACGGATGCGCGGACTACCTGGACACGACCGCTCGAGAGCGGTGCCACAGGCGGAATGCGAAATCGTCGCGAGTGGCGACGCTTTTATATGGTCGACAAATGTGCGGTTACAGGCGAGACTTCTCTACCCATCTCTTTTCCTTCCCCCCCCCCCCTCTCCGTTTTTACTTCATCGTGAATATCGGGTAGACCAAGCAATCGTATTAAAAAACTTTTAAATAATAATAATATACAATATTATGATATTTGCATTATAGAGAACCCTCGAGGTCTTAATTTCATATGAAATCACTAATATCTTGCTCAAAATATACTCCTTGTAATAAAAATATCGTTTGTGTCTTAAATTGTAGGTTATAATTATTTCTAATAGTTATTAAGCTCTCATAGGCGCGTATTATAGCAGATTTCTAGTTATTAAGTAGACTATTCTAAATTTATTTTACGTAATTTCAAATAAGATCTCTTTATTATTATTATTATTATTTTTTTTTCGTATCCTTTTATGTATTAGTTGTATGTAAGTTTATTTTAAAATTGTACATTTGCATGCGAGGTCTATCTATAAAAGAATACTCTTAGCGTAGCGGACGAACGAGCGAGATGTAGGGTGACGTTATTATGAGAAACTGATAGTAATACGATATATTTTGTGGCCCTGAAAAGGGCCTTTGAAATACACCTAAAACACACCAATCACCGACCTTACTTGGAGCTGGTGTATTTGGTGACTGCCTTGGTGCCCTCTGACACGGCGTGCTTGGCGAGTTCACCGGGCAACAGCAGTCTCACGGAGGTCTGCACTTCCCGTGAAGTAATAGTCGAACGCTTGTTGTAATGAGCCAAGCGCGAGGCCTCTGCGGCTATGCGTTCGAAGATGTCGTTAACGAAAGAGTTCATTATGGACATCGCTTTACTGGATATACCAGTATCGGGATGCACCTGCTTGAGCACTTTGTAGATGTAGATGGCGTAACTTTCCTTCCTCTTGTGCTTCTTCTTCTTCTTATCCGACTTGGAGATGTTTTTCTGTGCCTTACCAGACTTCTTGGCGGCTTTACCACTAGTTTTCGGCGGCATCTTGAAGAATATTTAATGTAAATGTGATCACGGATAATACTAAATTATCACTGAACATTTTTTTTTTCTTATATAACGACTATCACGGTGACTCTACTAGCTAGTGGTCTAACGAGCGTATCGAGTGTAGATCAACCAATCAACGACCAGTTTGCCCGGACAAATGGAAGGGGCAGGGTAGAGAGTAGGGGAATACGGACGGAAGATTAGTTTAGAAAGAACGCAATTTTTATTTTATTAAACATTCCAATATAAGTAATATATAATTATACTAATACCCAATTATTTTAATTAATTTAATAAAATAAATCATTATCGAATATTTTATAATAATAAAATTAACTACTGATAATGTTTTAATAATGCATTTAAATTTATAATTAACATAATACATTGAGTCCATTTATCGCGGCGAGGCAATCCTCTAATCCATCTAAAGCCAACGGCAACGGTGAAGTTCATAAGAGATTTTTACTACATAATATGTTGAACGGTAAGTATTAATATATGTTTCTCTTCAAAAAAAAAAAAAAATTATTTTTTTTACCTTTTAGTCTATTGATTATTATTAATTCATAATAAATATGGCTCTAGTCTTATCGTTACCATTACCAATATAAAGTAATAGCGTACAAAAAGGAATAAGGTATAGGATAGGATAGGAGGAACTGAGGAAAGAGGCTTTAAAGAACGTTCGCATTCTAAGAGACTAAATTTATAAATTATCGATAGTATTTGTGGCCCTCAAAAGGGCCTTTTAATCACGTACCACCACGAACGGTAGATAGCAATAGAGCAGTAGAGACACGCGAGTCGACGGACGGCGAATGCACCATTATTATACTAAGGAGCGTAAAACAGAATATGCAATACGTATATAGTACAATTAGGGCATTACCGATCGATAAAACGTCGACGCATACTCTCGTCTAATGTTCTCAACCATTTTCTTGGGCCTAGTGGTGTGGTGTAGTAATGCGACGGGAGTAGTGTACACACTCGTTTAGGCCTTCTTCTCGGTCTTCTTGGGAAGAAGGACCGCCTGAATGTTGGGTAGTACACCGCCCTGGGCGATCGTCACACCGGAGAGGAGCTTGTTCAACTCTTCATCGTTGCGGATGGCAAGCTGAAGATGTCTCGGTATGATTCTGGTCTTCTTATTGTCCCGAGCAGCGTTACCGGCCAACTCTAGAACTTCAGCGGCGAGGTACTCCATGACTGCGGACAGGTACACCGGAGCGCCGGCACCCACACGCTCTGCATAATTTCCCTTTCGCAGCAGCCTGTGAATACGTCCAACGGGGAATTGTAGACCGGCACGATTCGAACGGGACTTTGCCTTTCCCTTCACTTTACCGCCTTTACCACGTCCAGACATTGTCGTTAATACGTAATAATAAAATTCTAGATATGTAGAAAATTAAACACTCGTCTCTATATAGACGACGTCAACACCGATATAAACTAATTTTTTTAAACGTGGGGGTTATGTGGGACTCACTGCCTACCGGGGGACCTAAGTGATACCCACTAAAAACCGCCTTTGGGGACTGGCAACTAGCTCTATTAAAGCTGCATATGCCGTATCGTAAAGCGACCCTCTTTTGGGAAAAAGAGGGCGCAGGCGGCTATAAGCCGCTGAGGGAGTGCCTGGGAAGGCAATTTGATTGTAAAATGTTAATTATTTATGAAAGTTTAATTATGAAATTGACTGAGCCACCAGGAGGTAGTTCAAATCGTTTGACAGAGAATAGGCGGGTTCGAGTGGGAGTTCCTCGGCCTGCGGATGCGATAGCGAGAGGGAGTGGGGTTGCACACTTAGCTACCTCACGAACGAGTATGTTAATGAAACTCTGAGACTTTAAAGAAGTTTCAGAGAGTTTTAATTAGTGAGTGCCTACGGAGGCAGTTTTAACCCGACGTATTTACCTTACGATGAAATGATTAAATTAATTTTACAACGTACTTAAAAGATTATGATGCTCTGTAAGAGCAAGGAGTCTGTCCTGAGGGGACTTGGCAGCGCGCAATTTGCGTGCTAAGACTGTGATCTCCCCAATGTTGATGTTCTTAATAGCGGCGTACACCGTATTTAGATCATCAGCCACTGAGGGTTGTTCATGCTGTGCAGCGGGGGACGACCGCGGAGGGTCGGCCTTTTTGGGTCCCCAGGGAAAGACTGGAGGCTGTAATGGTTGCGAGAAGCCCGGAGGTGGGCGAAAAAGAGGGGGAGGGACCCGGGAGGGCCTTGGGTCTACCTGAGATGGGCGAAAATATCTCTTAGGTGGCAATCTTGACGGGAGGGCCGGGAATGACTTAGCATTAACCGGCGGTGGAGCGTGCCTAATGGGGCGGGGGTGAGGTGCGCAAGGGCAGCCTCTGTAGTTAGCCGGGTGGCCTGTTTGTTTGCACAGGACGCACGCGGGTGGGGATTCGGCATTTTTGGGCCGGGGACACTCTTTCGTGTTGTGGGGGTCGAGGCACTTAACGCACCTGGGTGGGGCGGAGCAGTTGGCCGCCGCATGACCATATAACTGGCAGCGGTGGCACTGCGCCGGGTAGCCGCGCCTATGTGGGAGCTCAGCCCTAACTCCCGACAGCCCACACACTGTGCGTAACTGCCGGAAGATAGTCTGTGCCTCCGGAGCGTTTGAAAGAATTGCGAGAGCGAGGGGGAACCTCAAGCCCGTTCTGCTGTGCATTTTATGCACAGCCTCAACCGGGAATCCTTGGGACTTAAGGTCCTCAAGGATTTCCTCGTTGGAAATTTCAAAAGGGACGCATCGGATGACGGCCCTGATTTTGCGCTCTTCCGGAAGAGCGTACATATGATAAGAGACTTTTTCGGCTGTGAAGAGCCTGGTGAGACGACGAAAGTCGTCGACAGATTTGGGGATGATTTTAATAGCCTCCCCGAGGTTGGTGGCTTGGTCGTATTTTATTCCTGCGTCGTAGCAGGTTTTGGAGAGGCGGGTGAATTGAGCCTTGTCTCGTAAGAAGACAGGGGGCGGAACTTGCTTCTTAGTCGGGTTAGAAGCACAGCGGGAGGCCGGCTTGGGCAGTGGTGTTACTGAAACTGCAGCGGGAGCTGCGGGGACTGAGGCAGCTACGGGGGCTGCGGGGTTTGCGTGGGCGGCAGAGGCCGCCGAAGCGGTGAGGTTTTTCGCGGTGCGTTTACGACGCTTGGAAGACACCGTCGTGTACTCTGATTCTTCGGATCCGTCTGAGTCAGACGACTCCGTAGAACCAGAGCCCCGGAGTGTAGATTCTGAGTCGGAGTTGGAGTTGGAGCACTCCATGTCTACTTCGAGAGGCGCGAATGAGTTCTGGGACTCAATGTGGGCCGCTATTACGGGCGGCGGGATAATTGCCTTACGGGCAGGCAGAAGGGCTAGAATGGCGGTAAGCGCCTGCGGGTCGGTTATCCTAGTGATGATCTCGCAAATCGAAGATTTTAGGTCCTGAGCGGACATGTTTAGACGGGTGTAAATTAAAGTAATTTGGTAAGTAAGTTAGGGGGGGGGGCACACTGTTCTGAAAAGAACAGATCGTATTCTTAAGAAACAGTAAGGGCGGGATCACCGTTCTGAGAAGAACGGGACGGTTTTATTCTAGGAGTTGTGCCCTGGTTCTCAAAAGAACAGGGCCTTGCTCTGAAAAGAGCAAGTAACTCCCTTGAAACAATATACACGTTACAATAAATAACAATAAAATAATTACAAAAACAAAATGACAATTAAAAAGCAAGACCAACAGTCAAACCGCCCCGCCCGGAGACAGGGAGGTAATAACTGGAGTTAGCGAAAAAGGACTCACCAGGCGTCGCACTGTACAGTGCGAGCAGGACAGCGGACTCGCGGCGTTCCTTTATATAGCAAGCATCGATTCGCCACTAGGTGGGGTGGGGATCGATCGCGAACGCAACACGTTTGCGCGGTCGGTCCGGTCAGACTTTTAGTTAGTTGGAAAATCTCAAGTCAGAGTTGGGAGTCGGGAGTCGGGCAGTCGGGCGAGGGCGAAACGAATGTACTTGTAAAGAAGAAAAAAAGAAGAATACTAGGTAGCAGCAATAGGATATAACGCGTTAGAATAGAATAGTATAATATATCGTCGTCGAAGAGGAAGAAAAACGAAAAACTGTAACAAGAAAATTAGGGAGTGTGAAAGTGATAATATTATTTATATACATAATATTATACGTGTTACGTTCGTGTAGGGTCTCGTCGCGTCGCGTCGCGTCACGTCGCGTCGCGTCGCGTCGCGTCGGTCGGTCGGTCGGTCGGTCGGTCGGTCGGTTCGGTTCGATTCGATTCGATTCGATTCGGTTGTGTTATCTATTTTACCTAGGCACCTATTAAAATTTTTTTAAAAGTGTGAACGTAGTACGTTGAATTCGTTGAGTAGGTGGTGTGTATATATATATATATATATATATATATATAGAGGTATTTAGTGTTTCGTAAATTGTTGTAACGCATTTACGACGCATCTACGTTTATTGTTTTAATATACGTGTATTTAGCTTATTCGAATTTATATACCTACTTAGTTAAATCGTTATCGTGCGTTCATAAGTTGTGCGTTCGTTATTTCGTTGCAATGTTTACATAATTACATAATATTTTATATTATATTATATAGAACTGCCTGACTGACTGATTTGATTGAAGTGAGGGACGGTGCGATATATATAATATAGGTAGGTAATATATATAATAAGGCAATCATTATGATTGACGCGTGACGTATAAGAAACTCATAGGAAATTTTTGTTAGCCCTGAAAAGGGCTTTTTAGCATTGCGGTCGCTCGCGCATATTCGTATACGACGCGACACGCGTACACCATTTATTTTATAGGTATTATTTTTAAGAATAAAATAAAAATAAATAGGCCCGATGCCGCGGCGCTACGAGGCACTCGCGTTCACCCGCGAGGATCCTTCTCCCGTCCCGTCCGTCCCGTCTTGCTGTCACTCTGCCTGCCTGCTTGCCTTCCTTCCTACCTACCTACCTACCTACCTACCTACCTACCTACCTACCTACCTACCTGTCTCTCAGCAGCATCAGCCTGCATGCACTACACAATCACATACGCGCGTGACAATTACGCGTACGAGTACGTACGTAGGTAGGTACGGCGGCGGTGGTTATGACGACGGAAGGCGGTGACAGCGGACCTTACTTTTTAGAAGCGGCTGCCTTCTTCGATGCCGCCGCGGAAGGCTTCGATTTGGGTGTTGCCGCCTTCTTCGGTTTTGGAGCCTTAGGTTTCTTTGTCGGTGGTTTGGCGCTCTTTTTCGCCTTCGAAGCGGCGCCTTTCGCCTTAGAAACGCCGCTTTGGCCAGCGGTTGCGGATTTTCTTGCGGCTGCCGGCTTTTTTTTCGCGGCGGCCGCCTTCTTGTCCTTGGTAGCTGCAGACGGTTTTGCCTTAGACGGTGATGATGCGGTCGTTGCCGATGCTGCCTTTTTACCCTTACCCGCGGCGGTGCTCTTCTTCACCTTCGCCGACACCGAGCTAGCGGCGGACGCGCCGCTCTTTGCGCCACCGCTGCTCTTACCCGTCGACGGTTTCTTAGAGGCGGACGATTTTGATTCAAGCTTAAAGGAACCGGAAGCCCCCTTGCCCTTTGTCTGTATAAGCGCACCCGATTCGACTGCGCTCTTCAGGTACTTTCTGATGAACGGAGCTAGTTTTTCAGCGTCGACTTTATATTGAGCGGCAATATATTTTTTTATCGCTTGCAAAGATGATCCACTGCGCTCTTTCAGCTCTTTAATTGCGCTGGTGACCATTTCGGAAGTCTTCGGATGAGTGGGTTTCGCCTTGGGCTTCTTTGCACCACCTGCTGCAGTAGCGGCGGCCTTCGGTTTTTTCGCCGGAGTCGCCGGAGCGGGAGTTTCGGAAGCTACTGCTGTATCTGCCATTACTTCGTAGTAGTAGTAGTATTAGATCACAAACGAACTACAAACACTGACTCACACAACTCGCGATAGATGATAATAACAAAGGAAAATTGTAAATTGTTGTTATATATCGTACACAAATTGATATTACGTAGGATAATACACAGGTGGCGACAGTGGTGGTTCATCTCCTTGTGGAGGTTTTCATGTGTCGAGGAGACCCTCTTTACATGGGCGGCATCTCAGGAGGACACGACCCCCCGGTCTTGGGTGCTGCGTTGGCAGCTTATATGTAGGTGTATTGCGCACCTCGCGCCATCACGTCGAGTGTCGGGACGCTCACTCACCCCCGGCGTCCCCTGTGCCGGGCAGTGAGCG